AGTATTTTTTAACTAGTTTTATTAGTTTCACGCTGTGGTTGTTCTATGAAGTGGAAATCAGAGCAGTAATAGCTAAAGGCCTGAATGTTTTAGATGCAATGTTGCCCTGACAGTGATCTAGCAGAAGGACATTTGAAAAAAGGCTGTATCCTGCAGCACAATGACATGAAAGCCCATGGGTCTTGCAGTTGAAAAGTAACATTGTCACATGCCCTGCACTGGAAAGGCATGAGAGAGATACTGAGAGCACTTCCACAACTTTAGCAACAGCTTTGATCCTTTCCAGAGCAAAACAGAGTGCTCTTTATTTCACTCAGCTTGAAAGGTACCAACTACGACACTTTGATAGATGAGATTCTTCCCACTCACATTAGAATCATAGAATCAGAAAGTGGTTTGGGTTGGAAGTGACCTTTAAAGGTCATCTAGTCAAACCCTCCTGCAATGAGCAGGGACATCTTCACCTACACCAGGCTGCTCAGAGCGCCATCCACCCTGCCCTTAAACCCCTCCAGGGACGGAGCATCTACAGCCTCTCTGAGAAACCTGTTCCAATGTTTTGCCATTCTCATAGAAAAAAAATTCTTCCTTAAACCTGGTCTGAATCTACCTTCTTTCAGTTTTAAACCACTGCTTTATCACAACAGACCCTGATTTTAGTCCATCCCTATCTTTCTTATAAGCCCTCTTTAACTTCTCTTCTCCCACAAAGACGGACTGGCACAGGATCAAAGAGGCTGCTTTATTTTCTTCCTTGACTTTTCATGCCAATGTTATTAGGACAGTAACTGTTCAAGTTACCAGTTTCCTAATGTTTCTTGTTCCTCTAGGAAATCTTATCAGATCAGTAAGGTTAAGATGAATACTTAAACACTGGGGCCATGCTATCACTGGAAAAGGTAGTTTGTGAAGAAATATGCTTCAAATTTAACTAATTTCATCTTTGTCCTGAACATGACATTAGAAGCTCACTGCTTGTTTCTGGAAAACTATATTTAAAAAAAACCATTCAACCTCCTCTAAATATCCCTGGCTTCCCCATTAATTCTATAACTCAGACTAATCAAAATAATGTTTCAGTCTATGATGCATACTAAAAATCGGAGGATTGAGTGTAGTTGATAATACATGATGGGGAAATTGCCAGGCTAGTAATATTAGGATTTCCCTTTTAAAAAACCCAGAAAGCAGATTCAATTTCTTTTAATGCTGTATGAAAAGAACATTGCTTACATGCTACTCAAGCATGAGGAAACACAAAACTTGTTTGTTTATGCCAGCTGATGTCTGCTCAGTTGTGCACTGTGATCATGTTTAATTCTGATTCTCCGGACTTTACATGTGTGCTCAGCTGTGCATGCAGCAAATCATGCAGCAGCCTGAAGGTTATTAGCCCACAGTTTCTGCACAGATTGTAATGACTTCTGGCTCAATACAAGTTTCTGGGCAAAGGCAACTTAAGACATTTTCACATCCAGTTGTTTATTCCCCATGTTCACAGCAGCTCACTGCTCAATTATGCCAGTGCCACGTGTGGTCAAGCTATAAACCTGATGGGAGAAGAGAAACATTAAATGCAACCACGGGACTTTGTAGGATGTTTACAAACCTTAACTTTGCAAGTTTCATCTTAAATCCATTTCATCAATGAGATTTACACTGCAGCCCCACAAGCACCGATATCAGCATTACCTGCGAGGCATCAGACTCTGAGAGCTTCTAAGCCAGCTGTCCAGCAAAAAACAACCATGGGGCAAGCATGCCTCTCTTGAATCTGAGTAAATGCTGTTGTAATTTACATGCTTTAATGTGGAGAGCTTTGTGGACAGTTGGCTAGCTGAGAAAGGTCACGTCGACATAATACCGCTGGTTAAGCAAGGAGACAAGTCTAGGAGTCAGCAGTCAGTGTCCATATAAGGCAAGGACATTGTGCCCTTGGTGCAACAACAGGATAGGGAAGAGGATCTTTTGCCAAAAATATGAAGAATAGTATCAACAGAATAACCACAAGAATGCAGAAGTAGGCGTAGTTGGCCGATAAGTAACTAACCAATAATGAACTTTCCTTTGCAATATGTATGAGCTTCATTACCACCAATATAAATATGTGTGACTATCAATAAAGTTCGAGACTTGCTGATCACTCATATTGCGTGCCGCATTTCTCCCGCCGATCCAACACTTTAAAATTCTAATTTCACATGCATCATCTCAAAATGGATTTTTTTTGCAACTTACAAGAAGTTTGAACTAATTCATCCATGATCAGAATACCAATTATTTAGACTAAATGTCTTTTTCACAAAAATCACTTAGTCTAAGTAGATGTATCTGAGGTGAACTATTCCAGTCATTTGATGGGAATTTCAAACTAAATTCCACTTGTGAACTATTTGTGTCAGGGACTCTTCTGGTACATGTTACAAGGGGAAGTCCAACATATTTTGTGCTTTTTCCAATAAAAGTGATGACCAAGTTGGTATGAAAATGAGAATGAAAAATGGTGAAATTCTGAACCCAGGAAAAAATGTTATTCTAGTTCTATTTTTAGAGCAGTCAGAAGCATTCAGGTATTCAGCATCCTTACACATTTCTTCATGATAGCATAGAATGATGGCTCAGTTTCAAAAGGCAACAAAGAATACACTGAACTGTATTACATTCCCAGGGGTTTTTTTTCCCAAATCATACATAATTGAAATTAACAGAGAGGTGAATATAGAAGGAAAATGGCAAACAGACAAGGAATAAAGGAACATTATTAGTATTTTCAAACAAGATTGTCTAACTTGCAGCAACACGCCACAGTTTAATCCATTTTAAAAGTAACTAAGTTCTTTGGAGCAATTAAGCTAGCAGCAGGGCAGTAGAAAGTGCATAGAGCATGCATTTGTGGATGTATTATAACAACAGCGCTAAAATTAAATACTGCATGATTAAATTTTAACAACCAAAAAACCTCTTTTTGTGCCATGAAACCAAATAGGTCTTGTGAGGGATGGGGAAGGATGATGTTTGTGGTTTTTTTTCATTTTACTACAAAAAAATCTATGGAGTTAGTGGTACATTACAGAACCAGTGGAGCTCCAATGAGGATTCAGAAACTGGTTGTGCTGGTTTTGCATGAATTGATTTGTGGTGAAGAGGGAAAAAGTCAGTAAAATAGCTCATCTTTTAAAAGGAATTATCCCATGTGCTCAAGTAAAATCCTGATGCTAAAACAGACTACAAATGTTATCACCTATGAAAGTTTAATATATACAAATGATCTTAAAAAGCAACTGAGTTTTATGCTGAACATGACTAAAATGAAAGAATTGGCCCAAGTTTTACAGTTTGCAGAAAACAGCTCACTAGTGCAATTGCTGCTCTGTGCCAATGTTAACTACTGTACTGCTACCATTCTGATAAATCATAAAATAAACAAAAAGATCAAGGTATTCCGAGCAATAGTGATGGGATTGTGCTAGGATTCCCATGCTGTTCTATTCACCCATTGTGAAAAAAGGTGTAACACACACTTGGAACCTTAGGATTACCTCACTAAAAAAAGCTAAAGACTTTTTTCTATTGGAAAGCTTTATCAGCTTTTTTAAGTATCCACCTGTTTTTTTCATTAAAAAACATATTGCTTGGATGTAAAAAGAATATAATGCAAATATCAAGCCAATTTATAAACAGTATCTGTCATCTCTCAATCAGGATAGAGATAAAAATCAGATGCATCCCAATAGAGCAGGTAATTAACTCTGTTCTTGGTAGGCTTTACCTGTTTTAGTAATAAAATGTAAAAGATCATTGCCTTTGTTGGTTTTTAAAATGCTCTGGGATTTAGGAAAAATACCATAGTCCAGAAACAAACTCTTCAGTGTCCCCCAATTCACTTCAAGTTTATCTAGAATTCTTTGGAATTACAACTTTCCTTTTGTTTTCTCAATTTCTTAAGGAATTGTTTATAATGTTTCATAATCATTACTTAGTACAGACACTCTAAAAACATCTTTCAACCATGCCAAAACAGAGGTATGTGCCTAACTGGGATCCAAGCAAGTATAACGAGAAGAACCAGCAAGTTCATTCACCACGTAAATCTTGACTTGTCCCTGAGGGCTGTTTGGCCTTTACAGTGTAGAGTTGGTCGGCAAAAGAGCATTAATCGTTACTTATGTGTCACATATTTGTTGCTCACATTTTAAAATGTACTGAAAATATCCACAGGTAGAGCTAATTGTTAGTTTATCATAAGGGAAATCTCCTGTGAAATAGTTTCTAGTTGTAATTTATGCAGGAGTGATTAAACTGCATAGATTCTGTTTATCCTCATTGTAGGAGATTCAAGACATCACAAAACATTCCAAGTTCAGCTTGCAAACCATTACAAAAGCACCTGTTAGCCCCCTTTTCCAGCTGCCAAGGCCCAGCACTAGGGCTCGAGGTCCTTTGTCACCCTCTGCTGCATGCACCAACTGCCCGATGGCTGCCAGCTAAGGAGATGCTTTATGGAAGGCAAGGTTCTAAGACTTGGTAAGAGAGCAGACTTGAAACAGGAGCTGTTAAACTGAACGGGAAACTTGCTTTATTTAGATGCAAATTTTGCCCAATCATTTCAAGACTGCCTTGCACACCTATGCCTAAGTGCTTGAATTCAACTTACAGAAAACTTTCAGCCAGTACGTGAGGAACAGATGCTCTTCAAATTACCTGCACCAGCTTGCAGGCAAATTAAGAATCAGTTTTCTAAATATTCCCCTTATTTATTGTAAACTGAATCAGTTCCCCACAAAACTTGCAGGTAAAATGTCTTTCTGATCACTTTACCCATGCCCTCATTTACTATGCGCAACAAAGTTTGAAAAATGCCATCTCTGAATTCTCCAGAATATGGATGTACTGACTCAAGATTGCCAATTTCACAAAATAGTCACTGATAAGCTTGGAGAGTGTCTTAATAGGACCACAAAACGCTGGACTTTCCCCTCCAATGTTAAAACAAACAAACATGACATAAGAACATTTTATTTCTTCAAGAAATATATCTCACAGTTTTGGGCTGAGGTCTTTCCTAGAACTCAAAATTTATATTTTACTGTAAGTGAATAGAAAGCCTATTTTAAGTGATAAATCAGAATCAACATCTGTTCAGTATGCAATCTGATCTGTGTCACCTCGAAGCATTTTACTTCTAAGTAGTAGTGAATAACCCTTATATTCTTATTCCATATTAAAAAAGACTAACCCAATATTAGTATCTTTGATTGATGTAAGGTAGAAAAAACTTGAATGCTAGGTTACTAGTAAGCATAAGGGGAAAAAAAAAAGTAGCTAATATGTATAAGAAAGAACCGGTGTTTGAAAAAACTCAAAGGTACGGGAAAGACGAATATGAGGCAAGAAAACAGTGTTTAGAGAAAAGCCATTTTGGAATTTTTAAGTACTAGAGGAACTGACTTATGCTACACCACAAACCACCCCACATACTATTGCTACCAAGAAATCAAACCCTTTGAGTACCAACAAAGTTCCCCTCTCTCCCCCCAAAACTGAGTTTTGTAAGCAAGCATCAATCCGTCCGGTCGGGAAAATGCTGTCTAGGAGCATCCGAGGCTTTCACCTCGGAAGATTGCACTGGAATGCTCAACACCGAGTGCCAGCACTCTGGGAACAAAAAGCTCGCACTAGGAAACTACCAAACCAAACATCAGGAATGCCCAGGAAGCTTTATTATATTCCACGTGAAAAAAGGAGAACGACTGCACAGTCAGAGTCCGGAAGCAGGCATTTTGCGAGGCTTCTCCCGGTCAGTCCTTCGCGGGAACCACACGGGAGAGAGGGCCGGGACCAGCAGGACGGAGGCTCAGGACTCGTCGGGCTTGTCGGCGGGCGGCCCGCAGGGCTGCAGCATCTTCTCCATCAGGTTGAAGCGGACGCGCGCCTTGCTCTCGTTCTCGGCGATGGCGAAGTAGTTGAGCAGGTCGAAGTGGCCCATGTAGGAGCAGTACGAGTCGCGGTGCTGGTTCACCAGCCACTCCCACTTGGTGGTGTCGGCGTGCCCCGTGCCGATGTACTTGGACTGCAGGTGCTCCAGCTGGCTGTGGATGGTGTAGCGGTCCGTCATGGCGAGGCCGGCGGGCGGGCGGAGAGCGGGAGGGCGGGCGGCGGGGACGGGCCTGGGCGGCGGGGACCGGCCTGGGCAGCAGGGACAGCTCTCGGCGCCGGGACCTTTTCCGGCGGGCGCAGCAGCGCTTCCCGCCGCTTTTCCTGCCGCAGCGCCCGACGGGAGCGCGCCGGGAAGGGCCTGCCGGGAGCTGTAGTCTTCTCTCGGCCCCGCCCAGGGGGCCATCCCTAGCATAAGTTAATATTGATATCGTAATAAAATAGTTTACTCTCGGTCCGATCACGTCAGTTGGCTAGCACATAGTAAGGCAGATGGTAGTTACAAGGCCAGACCGGCATGTGCAACCCAGCGTTATTTTAAAGCCCGTACGTGAGGGCTGAGGAGCGGCTCCAGCTCCGATTTCGTACTCTGAGCACGGGCGCGGGGCTGCGCCTCAGGCTAAGGCAGATGCTCAGCTGAGCCTCGGTGTAAAGCCTGGAGCCTCCCGTCGATTTGTAAACAAAGATACGGTTTGATAGTGATCAATCCACCTGGAATCCAAGGGACGTGCACTGTCAAATCTGGCTACGAAGTACCCACGTAGTGGATCGTGGGGAACAGCATCAAAAAGTCTCTCCTGCCAAGGGGTGCCAGGAAGGCAAAGCCCCGGGGCTCAGGCTTCGGGGCACAGCTTAATCCCAGCTCCTGACACCGGCTCTGTATAAACCGCAACACGGTGCTGCTTCCCAAATAAGCGAGATGGGAAGCCTGGCTCCGGAAAAAACCATAAAAAACCCGCAAAACCACCCAGGAGGTGCCAAGAGCAGCACAACGCCCCTTTTCGTTAGCTCTTTGCTTGGTGAGAGGGCAATGCACCCCTTTCTGTGGTCACTCTCACAAATCCATATAGAGAAGGGCTGAAGAGGGCACAGCATTTGCGGGTCCTCCCAAAATAAGAAGTTTGGTGAGGTTCCTTCTGCTACATACAGCTGAGGAAAGTCCTGTATGTCCCATCCCTGTTCCTTTGTAAGTTGAAGAGCTGAATTTATCTTCCTCAAATGGGCTGAGCAGGGTCAGGGGATTTAAGTCAAAATTAAATACTAATGTTGCAAAATATTTTTTACAGTGCAGCTAGTATTTTATCTGAATATTAAACTCAAAAGCAGCTATAAAACCCACAGAAAATATAACTTGTGTTGCCTATCTTCTTTTGGTCAAAGTCAAGCTTGAAATAAATTTTATGATACACAAAAGTTTTTTTCCAACTCTGTTCAAGAGCTTACATAATGTTAAGTTTAAAATGCATGAAATGATTCATGCTTTCATATGCTAGTAGTGTTTTTAATTATTTGTTTTAAAATAGGAAAGACACATTGCCAGAAATTTTTCAATAGGACACTGAGCTATTTCTTCCTGTCCTTGTAAATGCCCTGTAGTCAAAAAGAAATCCACAAAAATGTTATGTGAAAACCCAGCTGATTCTATGCCCCTTGTTTAAAAGTGAGCATCTTATAAAACCAAGGCCATATAAAGCAATGTAAAAACAATGTTCTGAAGTGTCCTTACCCTTCAGTGCAAAGAGCTAAATGAGGACTATAATTTTTTATTTTTGTTATTTTTATGAGGGTCTGTTGAGTCATTCCTACCAAGGCTTACTTAGCTGGAAGCAGATTACAGAGCTGGATACAGCAGCTGCATTCTGTGGTTGCTTTCAGAGAGACCAGGAGAGGAAAAATAAACAAACATGATACTTTAGGAGTTTCTATGTATGCTGGCATACAGAAAGAGCAAAAAAAAAAGACATATTCTCAACCAGGGAGAGCTTTCATTTCTTTTTTAAATGACATCTTTCTAAAGTGTGGGATAGCAAGAAGAATGCTAGCTTTTAATAGATGTTCCATGACAACACAGTGACACACAGGGCTGCCCTCACAGCTGTTTTGAAGTTAGTTATCCTCTTGGAAACTCTAAACCAGAAGATGAATTGATTAAAATAGTCTTTGGAGCAGAAAAGATTCCCAGAAGCTTATCTATCTCTTGCTGATGTTGCAGTTTCTAGGAGTAATAACTGCATTAAATCAAACAGGTGTAATAGTTCTCATTTTAAAACAACAACAGCAACAGCAACAACAACAAAGCAACAGCAACAAACAAAACTAAAAACAACAACAAAAGCAAAACAAACCACAACAAACCCCCAGCCAAACAAAACAATGAAACAACAACAATAAAAACCCAACTAGCCAAAACCAACTAAACAAAACCAACCAACCAAAAAACCCCAAACCTCACTGGGAAGTGTGAAATTTTCAGCAAGTTTGTTACTGGGCCAGATTAAAATGCTGCATTCAGACATCCAGAACTCTGGGAAAACACACCAAAACTTATTGGCTTTGGTCAAAAACCTCTGAGACTGCCAGACAAGCTTACCAATTCAAGGAAGAAAAAATAGATAGTAAAATTTCCAGCTAAAAGGCAAGCGACAATTATTTACAAGTAATTACTTAACTTCAATTTCACTCTAAAAAGAAAAAGTTTCCTCTGCTAGCTTTCAAGAATTATATTCAATTATATTCACTTTCTCTTAATTTCTTGTTCTATACAAAAATAAAATCTGTTGTTGGCCTTCTTTTTCTTGTTAGGTCTATTTTTTACAAAATGAATGCCTGCACTAGGGCACTTTAATTTCAAGTTTAGAGGAATACTAAATGAGTAGGGGAAAGGAGATGCAGATATATAGAGAGAGAATTATTGCTCAGTGGTAATATGCTTGTATGACTAGGATTCCTGAAAAAGTAGCATTTTCAGATATGTCAAGGTTTTTGTACTGAATACCACTAAATATCATTAGCAGAATATACAGTAATGGATGCTTACTTATGGAAATTACATAAATGTGTTGATTTTAGTGCTGAAATTATCTGTTTGCAGAGCAACAATGTATCTCTTCAAGCCAGGTTTCAAAAGGTGGAGACGCTGGGAGGCTGTAAGAGCTGGAACTGCAGAGGCCACTGGGTGTCAGGGTTGGACCTGCAAAAATTCTTCTTCCATAAAAACAGAATGGTTGGATTCACCTCCGAAATGTAGAGGAAAAAGGGTAGAGGGGGCTGCTGGACCAAGAAAGGCAGTGTCAGTGGCTGCCCAGTACAAGATATAACTAAATTTTTTAATTCCCTGCTGACTCTCTGGATGGAATTGTGAAGACATAGATATCCTGCAAGCAAGAGGATGTGACAATCATAATAGATAAAACCAACACACACCCAGAAAGATGATAAAACTGGGAGGCATGTTTTTTTTTTTTTTTTTTTCCAGAAATTCGTCTATTCTTCACTATATTGATTTATCCTACAAATACTTGAGATAGCATTAGCCTGGCAAGAATGGGGCTGGAATTTAAATAATGATAAAACCCCATTGTCTATGTGGCATGTAATTTTTTTGAAGTATCTATTTCATTAAAAATATGTTGCTTCTGCTAAAACAGGGTTCTTAGATCATTATTTGCAGAGGTCACATTGCCACTTAGTAATTTAATACTGGAAAAGTTACATTTTTCTAATTGCCTATTTTGGTTTTTTTTTTCTCAGTTTTCCCATGCTATCACATGAACTGCGATGCAGTTTCTCAAATGTTGTTATACCTATGAACATTATCAGCCTCAGAAAGCCCTTCTTTTGGCCCTGTAAGATATAAGAGGTGGAAGACAATTTTGCTGCTTTTCTCAAAGATCCTTTAAAAAATGTTTTTCACACACAAGCCTCTTCTTCCACCTTGTTTTATATAAACTCCTCTGATTTCTATCTTTGCCTTGTAGTCAGAATCACAATTTTGCTGCAGGGTAAGAATTTGCCATCACACTGCAGCCACCCACAGCCTTTGGGCTGCTTCTGGGACAGAGGAAACACAGTCCTTACAAGCATGGTTAAGTTTCAAGCTTTCTTCCACTATTGGAAACTATGTTTTGTTATTACTTTGATTTTATAGTGTGTAAATATTCCAAAATCTGAAAGCTGTTTTAGGGTTGTATGGCTGATTCTCTGCCAAAGCTATAGATTGGAAGAATATGGAGTAAAAAATTGGGAAAGAAGAAATACTGAGTATCCCACAATTGAAGCCATACACTTTATGCTGCTCTGTATCAATGTAATCAGTCATATTATCTTGAATTAGACTGCAGCTGGAGAAATTCACTCCTGAAGAACTGCCAAACCGAGGAGACCTGTGACCTGCACTAACAGTGTCTTGCCTAAGAGCAGCTTAGGGATCACAGAGACTGGTCCTTGGAGCTTCACACTCCATCAGTTGCTTGTGAACATCACTGTGGTGCTCTATGCCTTCTGTATGGGCCTGAATAACAGCTGTGTGCCTCAGGGGCACAGCACAATTGAATTAGCTTAGTTTAGGTGCCACTGAGCACTTCCTGCCAAGGTGCAAGAGCACGCTAAAAGCAGAGAGGCAGTAGAGGTCACTAGCACAATGTTTACAGATGAGACACTGAAATAATGTGGTGATCTGAGGAATGTGGTGTGGAGGGAGATGGAGCACAGTGGAAACCTGGCAGAGGCAGCTCTCACTTGCTGTTTAGAGGGAAGTTCTTTATTCCGAAGCCATCACTTTAAAAATAAGTCTGTCCAGTAATGTGATTAGTTACCTCTTCAGGCTAAAAATAGAGCCAGTAATAGTCTGCCAGGTGAGTTGAAATTACTTGTGTCCATATACGTTTTTGTAATGGGAAAGGTTTGTTCTTGGCATGCATTTGGAAATCAAATGAAGTAATAAGAGTAAACATATCGAAACTGGGGAAGACTACAGCACTCTCCAAGAAGTAGCTGTATTTCTGCCCATTTTCTTTGCATTCCTTTTCTTCATTCACTCCAGATAAACTGCCACAGCTAATACAGCTATTAATTGTGTTCAATAAGGTATACAAAAGTAGCAGTGATGAAAAGCACATCTTTAAATTGGCCAATATTTTGAATATTAGAAATGTACACAAATTTAAAATAGGAGGAATTGATTTGGCCATTGAGTAGCTCTGTGTATCGTATCACTGTATGCTTTCTTTGTGCAAGAAAGAGTAAGGACAGAGGAAATGACTTTCCT